CCAGTTCAGCCCCTGCTCCATCTCCAACATCGTGTCCTCCTGGGCCCAGTACGAGTGCCTCAAGTACGTGTCGTTCCCGACGCAGACGCTCTTCAAGTCGTCCAAGGTCATCCCCGTCATGCTCGTGGGCAAGTTCTTCCACAAGAAGAACTACCCCTGGATCGAGTACGTCGAGGCCGTCGGCATCACGCTGGGCGTGGCCCTCTTCATGCTCACGGAGAAGGCGAAGAAGGGCGGCGGCGACGGCGCGGGCGACTCCGTGCTCGGCGTCCTGATCCTCTCGGTCTACGTCTTCTGCGACTCCTTCACGTCGCAGTGGCAGGACCGCGTCTACAAGACCTACCACGTGGACCAGTACGCCATGATGTTCGGCGTCAACTTCTTCTCGCTCGCGTTCACGGCCTGCAACCTCCTCGCGACGGGCGAGATGGGCGAGAGCCTCGCGTTCCTCGCGACGAACGAGGCCGCGCTCGTCAACGTGCTCACGCTGTCCTTCACGTCGGCCACGGGCCAGCTCTTCATCTTCTACACCATCAAGAAGTTCGGGCCCATCGTCTTCACGATCATGATGACGACGCGCCAGATGCTGTCCCTGACCGTGTCCTGCCTCGTCTTCGGCCACTCGCTCGGCCCCGGCGCCGTGCTGGGCACGGGCGTCGTCTTCGGCGTCCTCTTCTACCGCACGAAGCGCAAGTACGACGCCGTGTCGCGCGCGTCGGGCTAGCCGCGCGCGGCGGGGGCCGCGACGGCGCGCGGCGGGATCCGGGGGGAGGTAATGGTGCTTCGGTTCACGAGTTCTCGGGGGTTGAAGTGCGCTTCTATAATAACGCGAGGATGCTCTCTGCTCACTTGAGCTTGGGCCGGGGGGACTCGCCCGCGGCGAGCTCCTCAAGCAGGAGGTCGACAGCACAGGACGCCAAGGACACTTCCCCCCAACGGCCTCTCCAGCCCCGTCAACGGCCTCCCAACGGATAGTCCCCAGGGGCAAGTCCGGCCTCAACGTGGCCAAAGATACCTATCGCCAGCTGCACCACGCGATGGGGCAGCCTCCTTGAGGTCCCCATACTGGAGTGTGTTTCTTAAGCCACTGGGGTGGGGGGGGGTGAGCTGTGGGGGGGAGTTGACGAGGGTGGGGGGGTCGACTTTCCGCCCGGCCCGGACGCGAGAACCTCCTAAAAACAGCGCCCCAGTACGCGTCCAGGCCACCGGGGGGGCGTGGGACGGGGGGTGGGGCGCTGTTTTTAGGAGGTTCTCGCGTCCGGGCCGGGCGGAAAGTCGACCCCCCCACCCTCGTCAACTCCCCCCCACAGCTCACCCCCCCCCACCCCAGTGGCTTAAGAAACACAATCCAGTATGG